GTGGTGGCCATGTGACTCCATACACAGGATGTAACTGCACAGAACTAAATGCACACACAAAGGAGCGTAAAGTAAAAGGTAAAAAGTAGCACATGGGCAGGCGGGGTCTGCAAGAGGCAAGTAGATTGTATCTCTGTCAGTTTTCTGCTTGTGTTTGGTCCTATAGTTCCAAAAGATGACATTCCCTGTGGGAACCCTGGGTGAAGGGCACGGCAGCTGATTTTCTGACAACACACTGGGGGATGTGCAGTGCTCTCAGCATATACTACCTGAAGAAGTGTTCTGACAGGAGGCCTGTGACAGAAGCTGAGCTAGTACAGGTCCAGTGTATGGCTCATCTATCAGCTGTCTGTCAGTCATCTGTCATCTGCCACCTGTCTATCATCTATCTATCATCTGTCTATCTATCATCTCTCTATCTATCTATCTATCTATCTATCTATCTATCTATCTACCTATCTATCTATCATTTATCTATCATCTATTCTATCTATCATCTATCTATCTATCTATCTATCTATCTATCTATCTATCTATCTATCATCAATCATCTGTCATTTTTTGCCATGCTAGGGGATGCTAGGCATATGATCTACCATTGAGCCATATCACCAACCCCATGGGTAGTTGTTTTATTTGTTGTTTGTTTTTGAGACACGGTCTCACTATGTAGCTCTGACTGACCTGGAACTCACTGTGTAGAGCAGGCTGGCCTCCATCTCACCTACCTGCCTCCACTTCTTGGTTTTTGTTTGTTTGTTTTTTGATAGTATCTCCCTAGCCTGCCTGGAAGTCACTATGTAGACCTGGCTGGCCTTGATCTCACCTTTGCCTCCCGAGTGATGGAATTAAAGGTATGCACCAGGGGGATGGGGGATGGGGCTGGAATTAAAGGTGTAAAACACCACACAGGACATTAACAGGGAGTGCTGGAGTACTTAAAGAACACTTTGTAACTGGTCTAAACCAGGGAGCAGGGACCCTGACCTCACTGAACTTGCAGTCTAGAACAGAGTGACTGCTGACTATGGACAGCCCTGAAGCAGGAAAAGCAGGTGTCAAGAGGGGAGTAGAATGACAGGGTGTCAGGTGGGGGTGTCTTAGCTTTCTTCCCAGCCTGGCCCTGGGGTGTTAATCACATGGTGAAGTGGGTCATTGTCTCTAGTCAAGCAGCAGACACAGTGCTACCTGCATCATATCTCCTTGAATAACCACTGGACAGGCCCACCCAGGGGCTGTGGACAGCAGCCTTATCCCAGAGCTGTAAGAAACAGATTCAGAGAGGTGAAGGGGCTGGCCTTAGCTCATACAGATAGAGAGCAGATGAGTGGGGATTTGAACTCAGTCCCACCTGACTCCAGGTCTCTTTTTCTTCACTGAGACAAGAGCCCTTGACTTCTTGCTGAGAAACACAGTGGTGCATTGTGGGGTACAAACCCACTATTGAAGAGGGGTATAAGTGGGTCAGCTCCTGGTGCCCCAGCCCAGTCTCTATCTCAAACTGGGCCCCCCCACCTTGCTCTGTCCCCTGTGGCTACTGCCCAACCCTTGGGGTGGGGCCTCAAGCTTGGTGGTCAGACTAACGTTAGAACTTAGGACATCTCCATTCTCTGTTCCCCTTCCTCCTCCCCCCAACGCTCCCTGCCACCTGCAGTGGTCCCCAAGCTCCCCTCAGCTTTGCTGCAATTTAATGTCTTGCCGAGCTGTCCCTATTTGACAAACAGGTGATTTTGCTAACGAGGAATAAACGAGATCCACAGGATGGGTGAGGGCGCATGGCAGCTGGTGTGAGGGCAAGATGTGCCGAGTTTATTAAAATAATGTCTGGCCACATGCTCAGTGCATGGGGCCAGGGTGGAAGGGTACCTGCTGTCTTCCCCACCCAAATCTGCTCTTCCCCAGCCACCCTCTTGTCCCTGTCCCCTTCCAGAACCTGGACAGTCAGCACTGTGTGGGGGTGGGGGTGCAGAGCTTTTTCATTGGAAGGTGATGGAATGGGTGGGTGCATGGGTGTGATGTTCACCCAGGTGTGTGAGAGTGTGACAGCCTGCACACATACGTGTCTGAGAGTGAGGGTGTGTGTGTGGAGCTGGTCTGTGTGGGAGAGGCACGTGTGACAGAAAGGGGATGGGAGGGTGTGAAAGCTGGGAGAGAGGAGGAAGGGAGAGACTCAGAGAGAAGAGAAAGACAACCAGCAGTAAGCCAGAGGGAGGGGCACAGGTGGTAAAGGCAGAACTGGATGTGGGGGAGACAGAGTGGTGGGGGGAGAAACAGAGAAAGAGAGAGATGGAGACAGAGAGACAGGGGAGAGAGAGAGGCAGAGAAATAGATGGAGACAAAGATGAAGACAGAGATAAAGAGACAGGGAGATGGAGATGAGAGAGACAGAGAGGAGAGAGAAGTAGGGGCAGAGGGAGCATTTAGAATCAAGGAGACACAACCCATAGAAGACAGTACCAAGGCCCAAAGACTCTGGGGAGGGAGGGGGAAGGGGAAGAGGAGGAGGAGGGGGAAGAGGAGGCAGGAGGAAAAGAAGGGCCGGGTTTGGAGGAGCCAGGAGAAAGGAGGCCATTACTGTAACCTGTGGTGGCCACCTCCCTCACTGCTCAGCTCCACTTCCCTCAGTGCTAAGATCCTTACAGGATGAGGCTTCTAGGTGACACCTAGGCTCCCCTGAGCTGATGGTTGCTGAGGAAGACGGCAGGGACAGATGGGATGGGGACAGCAATGGCCCACAGCAGGGGAGACCTTCTCATCCTCAGGCTGGACTCCGAGCTAAAGGGTGACCCAACCATCCAGCCACTGCCCCATACCTAAACTGAGGATCTCCACAGATAGGATGGGTAGTAGGGCGAGGTCAGAATGGAGGGATGTGGAGTGGGAACTGGGATAAGGTCCTCCTTCACCCTCAGATGGGACGTCCCTTCCTCCTTTGTGTCTGGGTCACCTGGCACTATCTCCACATTTAGGTCCAGACCTGCTTCCCCAGGCCTCCTGCATCTCCCAGTCAAGGGGACTTTCTTCCTGGTCTGGACCCATGAACAGAGGCCTGAAGAGGGTAGAGCTTTGTGGAGAGGATGGGGGAGGGGCAGGCATCTGAGGACTGGTGAGCCTGAAAGGGCTTTTTTGAGAAAGCCAGAACTGAGTTTCAGGCAGGTGGGCCTCTGGGTCTGAGTGCCCCTGCCTGTGCCTTCCAGTAATCTAACACTGTCACTAGCTCCCCCTCTTTGTGCAGTATCACATGGAGGAGGAAAGATAACCTGCACAGGGCAGTGGCAAAGGTCACCAAGCAGGGCACGAGGCCACCCTTTCAAAAGCATCCCATCTTCCTGGGTCACTGGTGTGTCTTCACACAGCTGTTTGGGTATTGCCTGAAATTCTCTTGCTTCGGGGAAGAGAGGGACAGGAACCCTGGAGGTACCACTGGGGGTCTGAGCCTGAAGAGTCTGGATACCAGCAAGGAAGGGAGCAGCTGAGGCCTGCAGAGCCAGGCAGGCTCCACGATACCAGAGGCTTGTTTCTGGCCTGTCCTCGGTACCCATGAGTCCCTCTCTATACCCGCCCCCCCATCCCTTTCACTCTGAAGTGTTAATCTTCCTTCCTTTCCCCCTTCCAGCAAGCACACTGGCCCCTTCAGCCCTGTTCTGCCCTTCTCCTCTTCCCCGTCCCCCTCCACCTTGTTCTCCATCTGTGTCTTTTCTTTCTCTCCCTCTTTCTCCAGACAGTAAGGGAGACCCACCTCCCCGGGGCCTGGGACGCTCTTCCCCCATACAATAAGAGTGACTGACCACCCGCCCCCGCTCCAGCGGCTGGGACCTTCTCAGGGGCACCTGGTTCTGAGCTTGAGCCTTACCAATAGTATAGCACAGAGTAGGTCTGACTGGTGAGTGTGCTCCTGTAGTTTCACCGTGGAGACGCACCCTCCCACGCCACGAAGAAGCAAAACTAGCACCAGCATCTCGCTTCCTGCTCTTTCCTGGCAGTTCCCTGTCTTGGCCTGTCTTCCCTTCCATCCATCATCTCCCTTTCCTGAGCCTCCTCCAGCCCACCCCATCACTCTCCCTTGTACCAGTTCCCCCACACCCTCTTCTCCAAGGTTCCAATGCAAACAGCCCCTGCTTGCAGTGATCCATCAGCAAGCTGGTGATGGGGAGGGAGGTGTCCTGAGAACCTAGACTGGAAAGTGATGACGTTAACTCAGCTTGGCACAGAGCCAGCCACTTCCCTCTCCACCCTCCAGGCAGGGGCAGGAAGATAGAATTTCCATCACAGATTCTCGAGGCTTTGCTGTTCAGGGGAGGACCTGGTACCAGCTTTTAAGGATGGTCTTGTCTGAGCATGTAGCTCAGTGGAAGTGTTTGCCAGGTATGTGTGAGGTGCTGGGCTCCATCCTCAGCAACACACACACACACACACACACACACACACACACACACACACACGTTGTAGTTGAGTTGGTACAGTCTTGCCTAGTATTCATGAGGCCCTGGGTTCCATCCCCAGCAAGATATAAACCAGGTGTGGGAGATGGAGGCAGGCATATTAAAGAGTTCAAGGTCATCCTCAGCTACATAGCAAGTTCCGGGACAGCCTGGACTATATGACACCATAAAAGTTTTAAATTTCATTTTTATTTTGTGTGTGCATCCGTGCATGCATGTATGTGCATGTGCAGAGGTCAGAGGACAACCTGTGGGAATTGGTTCTCTCCTTCTGCCATATGGGACTAAGGGTTGAACTCAGGCTTGGTGGTAACCCTGAGACCCTGTCTTAAGATCAAACTCAGACCAAAAACCAACAAAAAAATCCAAGAAAAAAGAGAGACTATCAGTCTATACCATGATGCTACCTTGTGAGCCTTTATTCACACTCAGACCTTTCAAAAGCAATTGGTAAGAGTCAAACATAAGATGATCCAATTTACAAAAACAAAACAAAAAGCCCACGCATAACAGACTGGAAACAAATACACTGATAAAATATTAATGACATTACTGGTATTTATCTTTATGTGGCGGGACGTTAAGTAAAATAAATAAGAAACTATCTATACACATATAGTCTCCTTTTCTATATCTTCCAAATGTTTCCTAATGAGTGCTTTTAAAAATCAATTTGTTGTTTTCAAATGGCTGTTTGGCCAAGCATCTGCACACAGACCTGATGCAATTGTGTTGTTTTAAAGTTCTTTCATGTTTATATTTTATTTTCTGAGTGGGTGATACTGTAACATGGTTTACAATGAAAATAGTACCAAGAAAAGGTTTAAAATAAACCTGTTAGCTGTCCCCAGGCTCCCTGTCCATTGGCTCTGCTACCTTGGGGGACAGCAGCACCTGCCTCTTGTGTCCACTGAGCTTTCAGGAGCACTTGAGAGAGGACACAGGGACTTCCTTGGCATCATGGACTCAGCCCTAGCTGAAGGCTGGAATGTCAGTCTGGGCAGGTGGTCTCTCTGGTCAGTGTCCTTCTGGAACTCTCTGGCCAACCCTCTTGGCCTCTCCCACTGGCAGAGACCTAAAGAATGGCTTTTATATTCCAGGCACTCTGTTGTTCCTGAGAAGAAAGCAATGTCAGTTCAGACATTGCAGAATCATGTCATAGAGTGATTATGGTCCCATCCTCAGCCAGAGCCAACAGAACATTCTGGATCAACAATCCTCTGGTGTTTTTTTTTTTTCCTAGATGTACTCTGAGTACTACAGAAGGGAGTATTGAGTAGTGTGTGTTCCCTGATTCATCCCTTCACTGACTTTATCTGTTATGTCAGCATACAATGATCTACTTTAACAATATCCATTTCTGAAATGTAATTTGGGGTGCAAGAGGAGGCTTTGATACACCCCCAATTTTGGGGAGGCTGGGACTGATTATATAATTAGCTAATCCAGGGGACCCAAGGTATCTGGTGCCTCCCCTGGAAGGAAGGTGATCCAGAGGTGCCTAGAGTAGATCAACTGCTCTGTGTTAATAAGCTTTATACTTTATAAGGTAGCCAATCTTAGGCATTTTGTTATGGCTCATTGAGATGGATGAGGCATTCATATTACCACAGCCTCCCTCCAACCAGGTAGGGAGCACTGATTTTGATCTAGTCTGGCAACCATGGTCTAGGCTGAGTGGTAGGTGGAGAGATGTGTAGCAGACCACACACTTACTTTGCTGAACCTTCCATAGGCTCTTAGGCTTCCAGAGTTGCTCAGGACCAGGGAAGCTGCAAGATGAAGGCAATGTTGCAGCCAAAAAACGTGATCTAGTCACTGGTCAGTGATCCATGGCAGGTCCGGCTTCTTCCTGGGCCCCACTGTTCCATCTGTGGGATAGGAAAGTGGAGCAGGTGTCAGCGTTGACTGAGCGCTCACCAGTAGCCAGGTCTTCTGCCAAACTTATAACATCTGGATGTCACGTTAGACCCCGGGGCCATCCCACAAAGGTGGCTTCTGTCAGCATCTGCAGTATGCAGCAGAGAAGCTGAGCCTGAAGGAGACGGCAGCCTGGGATGCATCTAAGTGATACGTGAAGAGGCAAGAGGGAGCCTGGGGTCGGCTGCTCCACAGCCTAAGATGGACCTCATCTTCCCAATGTGCCTTATATCGGCACTTCCATCTGGACAGTGATGGGGTTGGAACATGCATGTGACCTTGGTGAGCCTGTGTTCCTGGTGTTCCTTACATTCTTAGACCAGGCTCTGGATCTCACTGTTAGCTCTTTTCTCCCCAGCCTCTTGTACATTACACACACACACACACACAGAGAGAGAGAGAAGCACTGGGGGAATATTCACAAGTCACAAGTTCATTATTTAAAAAGTTCCTGAATTAGTTGCATGTTGGGTGCTGTCCCAGGTGCTAGATTAAAAGATGAGTCATAAAACCCCTATCCTGTGTGGGTAGTTCTCTGAATATCACCTCGTTTAGGGAAAATCTCAAAAGAGTCCTAATATGTTCTCAATTTCTATATGAGGAAAGAGTTCAGAGAAATGAAGAACTGAAATAAGGGTAGACGGTGCTGGGACTGGATTTCAAGATGGGTCTGTCGAGTTCCACAGGGCTGCTTGTCACCCCTGCAGCTCTGTCTGCTTCAGGATGCTTGCAGCTTAGTTTAGTAGATTGGATATGGGTACAAATACCTATAATAATGGGTAAGAGGGGAAAGGTACTTTGGGGAAACCATGGAGACTGAATGAATGACACAGGTTATGAGATGGAGAGGCTACAGTGGTTAGGGAAGCAAGAGGGTTAATAAAAGTACAGTAGAGGGCTGGCAAGGCAGCTCAGAGGAAAGGTGCTTTCCTGTCATGCATAAGGCCCTGGGTTTGAATCCCAGCTTCCATCTCTCATAGCGCTATGGCATTTACACTGGGCATTGGAGACAGCATTGGTACCTGTAGAAACTGCAGGGAGACCAAGGTTGGGCTCAGCAGAGTGGCAAACTGTAAAACAGGTTCAAGAAAGAGAAGAGGCCAGTGGGGGATGCAAGGAAGACAGCTATAACCGTTTGGACACAATGTATCTTGGCTTAAATAGTATGCCACTTGCTTCTTTTGCATTTTGTAAGGAGTCAATTCTATCGCATGCCTTTAGTGACACATTGGGATCTTCCTTTCCAAATGGTACACTTTAATTTATTTTCTTGTCTAAGTGCATCACTTAGTACTTGACATACAATATTAAATAGCAGTGGTGATCCTGAGAAGCTATCTCAGTACCAAACTTAATTTTTAAAAATTTATGTGTGTTTAATGAAGCTCCCATGCAACAGAGGGCCATGAACACAAAAGGACATGAATGATCAAAACACAGAGAATAAGAGTCTGCAGAGTGTGGGTCCTTGGACAGGACTCCTATATTAAACTTCACCCACCCAGGGCTCAGGGACCATTGTGGAAGAGGGAGGAGGTGCATGACCATATGCAAATAGAGTCCTATAGGCTCCTGGAAAGCCCCCTCATATGAACCTATAGCAATGGTGTCAGCATACCCAAGACCCATGCAAACTCAAGCAGATAAAAACCCAGCACAGAATTGTGGAAATGAACAGCAGGCCCCAATCTTAGCCAAAGAACTATTGGCAGCTTATTACTGCTGGGTGAGGAAGAGCTGATCTTAAAGGGAGAAACTCTAGAGAGGCTAACTAAACCCCAGTGGATGAACTTGCACTGAGGCATGTCTGGGGACACTAACTTGACTTGATAGGCCTTAACACAAATGTCAGAATGCATGATATCTTGGGCGGGGGGGGGGGCTATGGGAAGGTGCCAAAGGGGAAAGGGGTATAAAGATGATTAAGATGTTCTGTATGAGTTGGGCCAGAACTCGGGAGGCAGAGGCAGGTGGATCTCTGTGAGTTCAGGGCAAGCCTGGTCTTCATAGTGAGTTCTAGGACAGCTGGGGCTACAGGGAGACCCTGTCTCAAAAAGACCAAAAAAAAAAAAAATTCTATATGAAATACACAAAAATTCAATTAAAAAATTTACAAAAAATTACATTTATATGTGTGAGTCCCACATGTGTGTGCCCACAGAGGCCAGAGGAGGGCATCAGATATCCTGGAGCCGGAATTACAGGTTGTTGTGAGCTGCCTGATGTGGGTGCTGGGAACCAAACTTGGGTCCCCTGGAAGAACAGCAAACACTCTTAACCACTGAGTGATCTCTCCAGCATCTCATTATAGAATTGAAATGGGAATGCTAAAAAAATTTTTTGGTATAGTTTATTTTTATTTTATGTGTATGACTGTTTTGTCTGCATGTATATAAATGTACCATGAGCATACAGTACCTTCAGAGGCCAGAAGAGGGTGCTGGATCCCATAGAACTGGAGTTACAGACTATCGTTGGCAGCTATGTGGGTGCTAGGAACTGAACCCCGGTTCTCTGCAAGAGGGGCAAGTGCTCTTAACCACTGAGCCATCTCTCCAGCTCCTTAAATGAGAATGTTTTAAATGTTACATCAATAAGATGATGGACCTTAAAATAGACCTTGAAATCAACTGTACCAGACACATTTATGAGCCTGGTCAGATTCTCTTGGTCCTATACACTTCCCAGAGGCCAGCTGTTTGCTGCCTTTGCTGGATTTGTTGACTGCTAAGTAGGCGCACACAATTCTGCTATCTAGAGCTGATTAGAAAGGAGCCCAGTCTATGGTTTTTCTGCCCTTTCTGGACTTAAGAGAAATGCTACAATACAGGGCATGGCTTCCCCAGCAACTGCCAACAGGGCTGCAGATGTAACTCAGAAATTCAGGGCTGTTAACCCAGCAGACAGGGCAAGCTAGCTTTTGTCCTGTGGTGGTTGGTTCAGACACACACACACACACACACACACACACACACACACACACACTGCAGGGCTGTGCTTTCTCAAGAATCAGGAAGCAGGGGAGCAGTGTAGGACCTTGCCTGCTCCGGTCTGCTCCTGTCTTGGGGTCCCTCGTCTCTCATTTTCATCACCTTGAGTTCACACCTTCAGAGGAAGTTCCATTTTCTGGAACCTGGATTAGGGCAGCTTCTGTATGCTTTGTCAGCGTTCATATGGGCGATCAGGTCATTTTCCTTTAGTGCAGTGATTGGCGTTTCTGCTTTATCCTGAACTATGCTTGTGGTCGTGGGATAAACCTTACGTGAAGGACAGGCCGTCTGGTGGGTGTGGGGGAGGCTGCCCTTCAAACATACCCGATAAACAGGCCTCCCAAAGGTAACTAGGCCTCTGTGAGGTAACCAGGCCTCCCTTCCTGAGGCAATTTGGCCCCTCCAATGTAACCTGGTCTCTGTTAGATATAATCCAGCCTCTTCTAGGTAAGCCTGGCCTTTGTGAGATAACTCAGCCTCTGTGAGGTAACCAGGTCTCTTGAGGTAACATGGCCTCTGTGAGGTAGCTAGTCCTCTGTGAGGTAACCTGGTTTCTGTGAGGTAACCAGGTCCCTGTGAGGTAACCTGGCCTCTATGAGGTAATCCAGCCTCTCTCAGGTAACCCGACCTATGTGAGATAACTCAGCCTCTGTGAGGTAACTCGGATTGTGTGAGGTAACCCGGTCTCTGTGAGGTAACCTTGTCTCTCTGAGGTAACCAGGCCTCCCTGACCTTCCTGCTGTGTTTGTCCTCTGCAGATGGGCAGGGCAGACCAGCAGGTGGAGATGATGGCAGTGGCGATGGTGGTGGTGGTGGTGGAAGCTCTGGGAAGAGCTGGAAGGGAAGGGTGCGGAGGGAGGTAATTAGGAACCAGGCATATCACAGATCTCCCAGTCCTGCTGACACCTGGGGAGAGTGATCACACACTCCAGTCAGCCCAGACAAGTGTGAAAGTCTCACTCCATGGCCAGGAAGAGCAAGGAAGGGCACCCACATGAAAGTCCACGCCCAGCTCCAACCCTCAGAGCCCTGAGGTCATCCTCACCCTCACCCTGCCTCCCTACAGGGTGACCCAGGTCAGGGAGCTGTGACTCAGAGGTGTAGGGGGGCAGTGAGAACCCCCACAAAGACCAGGGGAAGGTCCTGGGCTGACGTGCCCTAGAGGAGAGGTGAGGACAGATTTCACCCTGGCAGGCAATCAAGGCTGGGTAGATTTTAACAAGCCCTCTGAGGACTCAGGTAGCCCTCATCAGAAGTGCCAAAGTCAGCTCCCCGAGGTTGAAAAATTAGTCCCTAAGGAAATTGGAAATTAATACCGGCTGAAAGGTTCTTGTCTCTCAACACTCCTGCTGATTGCTAGATAAGGAAGTAGAGGCTCAGAGACGCTGTGCCTGTGGCCAGAGGGCACACAGCTCTGCAGGACCTATCTTTGCATCCTTCACTTTCCCCTGAAAGACAAGAGACCCTGTCCCTCTGAAGGGGGGGTGTCCTTAGAGATCTAGGAAGGGGGTGCCTTTCTCTTCCAAAGTAACACAATCCCCACAAATTGGGGACAGTTTCTTTTGAGGCCAGTGATTTGGGCTCCAAGACAGTACTAGAATTAGGGACACTCACTCTGTCTCTGACGGCAATTGCCCCTCTGGAAATGAGGCCATAGACTGCGGCCTCCTGGGGAAGCCAGCAGATGCTCCCTTTCCCTCGCTCCTCAGTTTGCTTCTTCCCTGGAGTGAACACTGAGGGCCCAAGGCAGTGAGGTGGGAGGTGGGAAGTGGTCAGCCCAAGGAAGGCCCTCAAAGTCAGGTCAAGAGTTCCCATCAAACTCTCCCATCACCTTTCCCTTGGCTCCTGATATTTCTAGAACATTCCAGAATTGCTCTTGCTTCTTTCTAGAACACTCTATTCACTGACATGTCTTTCAACATTGAGGTCTCAGTTTGTGACATCCCTCGAAAGGATTTTCC